ACAAAGATGCAGGGATATATATATACATATATATACACACACACACATATACATATATATACAAACATACATACATATACTTATAGACACGCATACATATATATGTCTATATATACATGTATACATGAAAGCTTAAGATCACACATGAGGCTGATTGCAGAAGGAGCTCTCTCCATGGTCAGGATGTGGGTATTTACAAAGAGCCCCGGGGAAGGAATGCCGCTTCCAGCACCCCAAGTGTGGTTCTCTCTTGTGACTCCAGACTTTTCCTGGTGTCAGAGATGGGCCAGGGAAGCGGCCCGAGCGGCACGCTAGAATTCTGCAGCCCCCTCAGAAGGCCTGCGTGCGTGTGTGTGTGTGTGTGTGTGTGTGTGTGTTTACTTCAGCGTTTTAGAGCATCACCAGCCTTCTTCCTGAGCCCATGCCCGCTCTCCCTGCCACCGACCAAGGAACCCCACGCGTAGACGAGATGGTCAGGCTCAATGGTTGTGTCCCTCCCATGAGTTGCTTCCACGGTGAGGCATACTGTTTTGCACACCCCGCACAAACACACAGGAAATATGCGGTGTGTGTGTTCTTCTTCTGGAAGGGTCTTTCCTACACCCAGGAGTGGAGTCCTTCCTGAAGGGCTCCTCACATATCCTTCGGGGCCCCAGGAGGATTTGGAGATACAGAAGGCGATTCTAATCACAGGGATGACATTGTGCCATGACATTTTAACGGTACTGAAAGAGGTTGTCAAGAGCGGGACCGTGGGAGCTTGATTGGCCGGTGATGATCCATCATTTGGCAGTTATGTAAGGATGTAACCATCCTCTATGGTCTGATGTGAACCATTAGCCAATCGCAAGGAGATTAGGATGTACTTAACGCAGGTCATCGCTCCGATCTGATGTAAGGGGAGTTTCCTGATGTATGATCTGCACTACCTTTTATGTTAGATCAAAGGAGAGGGAAGTGAGCAGAGGCGGAGGGACCTGACTGTCACCGAGAAAGAAGAGCCAGAAATGGAGTGGGTCCTCCGGACCCAGTGTCCTTGTGCTGAGAATCTCCCAGAAACAGGGCATGGTTTACTCTAAGACACAGACTGCCAGGCCCACAGATGTTGAAAGGAGCACGAACCTTTCCTCTCAGTTGACAGAGAGCTGAACTCTGAATTCCTACTTCTAGCCGCCTGAAAAATGACCCCAAACATTTCTGTTTGTGAAAGCCAGCTACTGGCCGTATTTCTGTTACAGCCACCTGAGATCACTCGATGAGATAGAGTTAGTACTAAGAGTGAGGCTGAGGTTGCTTCTCTAACAGATACCTACAATGTGGAAGCAGTTTTGGAAAAGAGTAAGAAGCCGAGGCTGGAAGAGCTTTAAGGTGCCCAATCCAGTCACTCCCAAGGAGAACGATGTGGCTGCCTCCCTCCATAAAGAGCGACAGCCTTCGAAACCTTACAGAGCAGTTTCCCTCTGTCCTGTGGGGTTGCTAGAGCCAGAACAGACTCAATAGCAGAGAGTCTGGATTTAGGCCTTTTTTTTTTTTTTTACCCCTCTGCTGGAGGCATGGCCTGCTGGGTCTCAAAGGGTGGGGCTACAGTTTCCTAGGCTTCAAAGAATCAAATCTTCACTACCTCAATTCTGGACTGGGAGACTGCCATCACTATTACCCAAGACGGGCCAGAGCTGCTGCCCCAAACTGAAGGGATAGAGCTGCCCATGCCAACGGATAGAGCAGCAGGGTCTACTGGAATCAAGGGGGTTACCATCACCACTCAGTGGGACAAGGAGAATAAAACTGGCCAAAGACAAATAAGTTGAGGCCCAGGGCTGAGAGGCCTTGATCCGAAGTTCAGAAAGCACGGCAGCAGTCAGGGTCTGCAGGACAGGGACATTGCCTCGATGATCTCTGAGGGCAGATCTTTTCAAGCCTTGAGAATGAATACAAATTGTTCTGTGAGGGTTTTGACTTGCTTGGTGCCAGTTATCCCTTCTTTCCCTCAAGTTTCTCCCCTTTGTAATGGATGTCGGTCCCATCATTGTACTATGGAAGAAGACTGGAGACATGAAGAGGAATTTTGTTTCAAGATAGAGTTTGGACTTGACGGTGATGTCAGATTTTTGAGATTCCATCTTGGGCTGAGAGTGTCTTGTACATGGCAAGGAGATGAGCTGGGTGGGCTGCAATGACTGGGATGTTCTGGATTGAATTGTATCCTTCCAAAGTGTGCGTGAACTTAATAGGGCTACAGAACTCAGTGGTTGGCAGTTATGTAATGATGCACTTCGCCAGTTATGCAATGATGTAGTCATCCTCCGTGATGTGATCGCCCCATCAGTTGTAAGGGTTGGGGTGGCTTGCCACATCCTCGCTCAGTTCCCAACCCTGTCTTGATGGAAGGGGAATATCCCTGATATGTGTTCTGCATCAGCTTATCTTGTACAAGAGAGAAAAGGAGAGAGAAAAATGAGCAGCAAAGGAAGGACCTGGCTACCAGTAAGGAGAGAGAATCAGGAGTAGAATGGGTTGGTTCTATAGACTCAGAGACTCTGAGCTAAGAACCTGCTAGACACAGAGACAGGCTGATGCCAAGACACATGGAGATCTCCAAGGAATGCCAGGCCCACCGATGCTGAGAGGAGGGAAGGACCCTGCTCCAGAGGTGACACAGAGAACAAGCCTTCCTCCTAGAATTCGGACCCTGAATTTGAAAGTCTGGCCTCCTAAGCTGTGAAACAGGCACCAGGAGAAATTAGCCCCTGGAAAAGGACACCATGCTTGGTAAAATGGAGAGGCAGCAAAAAAGAGGAAGACCCCCTTGACAAGACGCCCTGGTACAGAGGCTGCAACCATGGGCTCAAACATAAGAGCGCAGGACCAGAAGGTGTTTCCAACGTTCTGCCGTACAGAGGGTCGCTATACATCGGAACTGACTCGATGGCACCCAACAACAACAAATTGTGTGAGAATATAATTCTGTCTGTTAAAGTCATCCTCTTGGACTTATGTAGATAGTAGCAAAAAATAACTGACAGAATTCATCCCCTTATCAGCACCAAACTATAAAATGATTAGATACTTTCCAGGTCATTGACAAAACAGAAGCCATTCGTCATTTTGGTAGAAAAACAAAAACAAAAACCCACTTCACTACCATCAAGTAAATTGTGACTGACCATGACCCTACAGGACAGGGTAGAACTGCCCCAGTGGGTTTCTCAGGCCATAAGGCTTCTCAGCCTCATCTTTCTCCTGAGGAGCGGCTGGTGGCTTTGAATGCCGACGTTGAGGTTGGCGGGCCCACGTGTAACACACTAGGACAGTGGGAAGACGGGAATCTAAACCACCAAAGCTTTTTAGGAAAAGGATGTTGCGTTTTCAGGCTGCGAAAAGGTTCACGGTTTTTGAGTTTGAGATTCTAAATAAGATACCCTCAATTTCTCAATCCACTGCCCCAAACCTGGATCACGTGACTCTTCAAAGGGCATTTGGTGTTAATCCTGCAGCTCCTCTTGGGTGAGGGGGGAAGCACCTAGTTAAACTCATTACACCGTGGTTTCCTGTTGAAGGGGAGTTTGTATGTCCTAAAGGAGCGGAACGGGAGCACAGAATGCAAACACCATTCCACCGCGGCCGCGTTTCAGGTCACTGTTACCCTCAACTTCAGGAGATACTGAAACACACTGATTATAAACTCAAAACCAAAACCCATTGCCATCAAGTCTGTTCTGGCTAAAGATGGACCCCCACCCCCCACCCCACTCCATGTCTCACAGTAAACTGCGCTCTGTAGGGTTTTTAATGGCTGTGACGCTCAGTAAGAGATTGCCGGGCTTTTCTTCCTGTGCACCTCTGGGCGGAAGGAACGTATCAGTTCCTGGTGGAGTACTTAACGCCTAGCACCACCCAGAGGCTCTGAAGATAAACAAACATCATATGGTGTGAATATTAATAACTTAGATCGCAGCATTTCTTTTAGACATTAAAAAAAAATCTTCATTGTTGGATAATAGTGTATATTTTTTAAAGTGTGAACAATGGAAACTCCCCCCTCCCTTTCTCGTTGTACATTATTAACCATCTTTCCATGAACGAATCTCTGACTCGTATGAACCTCGGTCATGCTTTCTTAACATAAGAACAATTAAAAACATATTTAGTGAGAGTTTGAAACACAGACTACAGAAAACTACATTGGGTGCAAATGATTGGCTTTACAGTGAGACATTATGCGTACACCGATAGTATCTTCTTGTTAGCATTAAAGTGATAAACTTGAGAGGGGTGATACCGCCCCTATGACCTGTCCCTGGGAAGTGGATATTCCCCCGGACCGCACTGACCCGAGAACCCTAATCTTATGGTGAGCAGCAGCTGGGTGGGTTGTATTACTGTTTGCTCCTGGACAGATGAGAAGAACTCAAAGAGGCCCGGTCCCCAAGCAACTAGGCATCTTTGATTTTTAGCACTGGAGTTTCATTAAACTATTTGATCTCAGGGCCTAAGGAAGCAAAGGGTTAAAAAAAACAGTCATGCACGATAGGTCAGCTTAGGGAGGGTACACTGGATACCTGTTAGAATCTGGGGTGACTGCCACAGTCAAAGGTGAAAATCACAGTGTGGAAATTAAGGTGAAGGACTTAAGTCTTTATTTCTAAACAGTTGCATGAGTCACCGAATGAGCAAGTTTCTCCAAGGCAAAGCCACCAAAATAAAAACGCTTTGGAAAAAGCAAAAAACCCAGAAAACCCAACATTTAGGATGACTGTGAAACGTTATGTTGTATCATTTTATATTGAACACCAATGATTTCTTTATTACTATTATTTGTGAAATGACTCTCAAAGCCAGTTATTGTTCAGGGCTTCCTCTGTTTTCCCAGAAACACAACCTGGGGCGGGGTGGGGTGGGGGTGGCGGGGGAGGAGGACATGGCACGCTCTGTCATCATGCACTGAGGGTGCCGCGGTCTGTAGGTTAAGAGGGAAAATGGAGGCAGTTCCTTCCAGGGACTAAGTGGTTGAACTTAAAGTTTAATTAACAAAAGCAGAGCCGCATTCCCATTTTCCGATTCACAAAGACAAGTTTCTCTTTAAAGATATGCCTGAAACATATTACAGAGAATGTCCCAAATGATTAGTGTGTAGACATTGTCATTACAATGAAATTAATATGATATCAGCTCCATTTCACATTGTAAACCGCAGGCCTGAATGCAGAAACCTATTTAAACTGTCCAGTGTTTGTGCAGGTTTTTAAATGAACCATACAAAATCTACATTGTTCTACCTTCTTGTCAAGAGGATCCATCTGTTTCCAATTATTGGCCTTTAACTGATGAAGTTCATCAAATTTCATACTAATATTTTCTATGGACAACTGCAGCATGTCCCAAAAACCCGCCAAATCCTGGGAGGTGGGCCTTGGATGAGCATTCGGATTCTGTGCAGGAGAAAGAAGAAGAGCCGTGCTTTAGAGGCAAGCGCAGGAGCATGGGTTTCTTTTGGCTTTCAGACAGGAGATAAAGGCGAAACAGTAAACAGTATACACTCATCTGCTTTGAATCAGTGATTCTCAAATGTCAAGGTTGTAAAACTTTTCTGCTGTAACATAACATCCATCACTGTGGTATGGGAGGGTCCAAACATTCCAAAAATCCCAGAATGTGTCATCTATCTCCCAGGATGCCTTTTTAAAACAGGACATTTACATGGAAATACCATCTTTGGGGGGGGAGGGAACAACACAGTATATTATTGGTAAAATCTCTGTTCTACGGCATGCCACCCGACTGATTTGAGAATAGAGAAGAATTGGTTTTAATATGATTGGTTTAACTCTAATTGGTTTTAATACTCAGTTGAGTGAAATAACCAAAATCCATCTCTCCGGAGTCAAGGCTAGCTCAGAGCAATCTGGTAGTGCAGAGGTTAAACACTTGTGGTGAACCAAAAGATCAGTCCCTGAAGCCCATCAGCTGCCCTGCAGGAGAGCGCTGAGGCAGTCCGATCTGGGAAATGGGAGCCTGGGCCTCCAGGTTCCAGGACCGCAGTGAGGCTCTGTCCCAGGCGTTGCGAGGGTCCCTATGAGTTGGAATCAGGTTGGGTTGGTTGAGTGAAACGCTGGGGTCAACAAATGATAAGGAGTAAAAAAAAATATCAGATTTTCAAACGATCATGTGTGTAATAATTCAGTTGTTACTAATATGTGGAGGTCTGGTGGTGAAGTGGTTATGCATTGGGCTGCAAACCTCAAGGTTGGCAGTTTGAAACCGCCCACTGCTCCGAAGGAGAAACACGAGGCTTTTTTCTCCCGTAAATAGTTATAGTCTCAGAAACCCACAAGGGCAGCTCTTCCTTGTCCTATAGGGTCGCTATGAGTGAGAATAGACTCAATGCAGGGGGTTTGGTTGAATATAGGAAGTTATTTTAACCTATGACTACACTAACAGAAGCTTAGTTGGAACCTAGATTGACCGTGAGATAGTATAGGAGGTGTGTGAATACGTTTCTATACAATGGCTTAATTTAAAAGTTTAAAGAAAACACTACATTCTCATGTTCTGTAACTCTCCACTTGTTAGATAACAGGAAATATTCCTCAGTGTTAAGGGCTGACTTTCTCTGCTGCCACCCACACATCTGTGACAATGCCTAGAAAGTGCTGGTTTATACCAGTTAAATAAGCTGAAGCAGTCATGCTCAGTGTTAATCACTACCTGCAATAGTAGCTAAGGGCACTTATGGGAGATGGGCAAGAGTCACTGTGAGTCAGGGGCTTCCTGGTCAATTTTGGTAACTCTGGTATTCTAGGCATCCTGAAACTACGGCCCGTGGGCCACATTCTGCCCACCGAGGACATTTATCTGGCCCGCTGGGTGTTTTTGCCTTGTTTGTTTTTTTACTTCAAAATAAGATATGTGCAGTGTGCATAGGAATTTGTTCATAGTTTTTTAAAACTATAGTCTGGCCCTCCAACGGGTCTGAGGGACAGTGAACTGGCCCCCTGTTTAAAAAGTGTGAGGACCTCTGTAAGACCATTGGATACACCACGGAATCTTACTGCACATAGGAACATGAGACCTGTTTCTGCCTTTTAAATGAGTCCTTCATAGAAACAAGAATCAGTTTCAGCAAGGTTGGTGGCCATCTGTGCTAGTTATATAATCTGGTGTCAATCTGGGACTTGAGAGGATTAAGAGTGAATGGGTGGAGGCTAGTCTGTCAATCAGATCATAGCTAATGAGACCTCTGTGTGGCCATGGCTTTCTCCTGAGAATTCTGGGAAATCTGTTTTTACCTCCTTGGAGGCCAGAGAGACTCTCTTCTCACTCCCTGGGAGACACTGCAGCTGACAAGACACTTGGAACTACACTAGTGCCCTGAGCTGGAGAAGCCACATGTACCTACCCTGATGCAACCAGACCTCTGGAGCTGGAGAAGCCATGCAGAGACCCCTGCCAGTGCTGAGATGCTTACAGTGCCACTGGACCCAAAGACTTTCTACCCTGTGATCGTCCTGCATTTGGCATCATTGCATGTGTTTCGTGAGTCTGAAGAGGACTTTATAGATTGGTATTGGACATATGGGCTAGTGTTGGATTTATGGGCTTGAACGGGACTGGGTTGGGATGCTTTCTTAATGTACAATTACCCTTTATATAAAACCCTCCACATGTGAGTTTCTATGGATTTGTTTCTCTAGTCTACTGGAGGAGCATAGCATCAAAGGGACAGGAAAGTTCTTCTTAATCTGTTAACTCTGCTGGTCACCTCCTGGGGCATGGTTTGGCTAGAAACAATGGCTCCCTCATCTGATGTAGCTCTGCCTTGGGGCATCTCAACAGGGCCGCACCATTTGGTAACCCAAGTTCATCTCTTGGACTCTGGATGTAAACCTACAGCCCAGAAACTGTGAAAGGGCCAGCTTCAATGTGGGGAGTATTTCCTAAATGTCTGCAAATTGATCTAAAATTTTTGCCTGTAATTTCATCTTTAAAATATACAGTGCTTACATTCTACTTCATAATACACTTGCTCACCGTATAGATATTTTTTAAGCAATAGATGTTATGCTGGTCCTGTGATATGTACATAGATGTACTGGCCATTTGGAAAATATGACTTTGTATGATTCTTTTTTTACATTTAATGGAGAATGAACAATTATGCTCCTTAAGCTCTGTGACACATTAGTAAGATTGTATATTAGTAGGAATTCTGTACTTGGCTTATAAACTGAAGTCTAATGAAATATCTGTTGAACTACATTCACTCAACACTAAATTTAGTAACATAAATTATCCCAGAATTCTGAGAAGGTAGAAGAAGAGTCAGATATGTTTTGCTATTGGAGGGGAAAACAAACCCTAGTGAGAGGGGAGGGCCCCAAAGGCAGGTTGCAAAATAAAAGCCTAGCCAATGGGGCTGGGGAGGACCAAGTTCTGTGTGTTGTTTTCGTTTGGCTGAGTTCTGTCCTGGCATGTCCCTTTCAGCAAGAGGAAGTGGGTAGGCCTCTAAAGTAGACTCTTGGGTCCATTAAATAGAAAATAATCACATTCTCTTTCCCATAAAATAGTCTTTCTTACTAACTCTTCTATCTTCACATGGACCAACAATTAGGTGTTAAAAGTAATTTTGGTGGAGCAATTAAAAAGAGAGGGAGCCATTTGTGAGAAAATGCTTTCTTCGTTTATCATCAGTTTTCTGAATTTTATTGTTGGTAGCTTTGCATGAGCGTGTGTTGTTGTTTTTTGTTTTTTTTTTTTGCTTTGCTTTATTTTATTTGTGTATGCCTAAAAAAGATGAATTAGCCTTCTCTCTCAGGAGGTGAAGTCTCCACTTTGTAATGCCCTGACCCTCCTCGCCTCCAAGTGAAGGCAGGTGCTCAGATCCGGGCTGGCCCTGCGTCGCTGTGTTAGGGCTGTGTTAGGAAGAAACTCCCCATCCAAACCCAGCCCAACACCAAACAGGGTTGGGGTGGGGGGCAGTCATATTGTTTTTCAATATCAAGCTGTTCCCACCTTTTCGTAAGAACAATAAAATCAGGTGTCATGTGAAAGTCAAAAAAAGAAAGATATGTCGTTATTTTTAAAAGCACGAAATGAAGTTTTAACTTGAATTTTTTGTTCTTCCAAGATTTTGTAAGGATGAAATAAATATTTTCAAGAAAATCAAGACACAAGATGCCTCAGAACACCCTCTGTCCAGGGGGGAGATCTCAGTGGGCTCCGACTGGGCTCACAGTCAGTTGTACTTTAACTGGGTCAGACGCAGGGGTGCTCTTCTCTGCATGGTACTGGCGGGGACATGGTACTGCTGGGGAAGGTTACATACCAGGTTTTCTTCACACAGTTCTCTGAATTGGTAGAATTTCTGGGCCATGAGAAGCTGGGCACTGCCCACTGCGGTTCGGATTTTCCCTAGAACTGAAAAGAGCAAACATACAAGAAGTTTACACATTATACCTCACTGTTTGCCATTCAGTTGGGTAAAGCAAAGAGGAAGTTCTGTTGCAATAATGAGCTCTTTTCTCTCTCCTTCTCTCTCTCTCTCTTTCTCTTACACACACACATACCGTGCGCCTATGTACAGAGACTCTTGGGTTTCAGTATAAAACAGCTTGGAAGCATCACGTCGTCATGCATATTTCTGGGGAGCCAGGAGAGTTTCCACCACAGCGTTGCATGCTAGCAAGAGATGTAAACGGCTCCCCCCCTCCCCCTTTTCTCTCTCTGTAAAATGACTTTCCAGCGCATACGGGTATCGTTTATGGTTCAGTCTGCCTGCTTGGCTGAGGAACCTGAACCCAAACACGAAAACAACAACAAAGAAAGCAATCCTATCTGGGAGGAGGACCTCTTGGCACTCACCACATCCCATCCACATCCTCCTTCATTTTTCCGGAGCCCAGGCACTGGAGCTGTCAGGGAAAAGCCTTGCGAGTTGAATGATTTTCTAAGGAGTGAACATTTTCAGCCTGTTGCCTAGGGAACGCCAGCACCGGCCCAGCTTTGACCCTCCCTAGCCCAACAACATCGCGAATCCGAGTGGGAGTTGCACGGTGCTGAGAACCTTCCGCTTTGCACCCGTGCTGTCTAGGGCACGGACCTTTCAACTGACAGGTGTGGGGTGGGGCTGGGGCCGCCAGAGCTTCTGAGTCCTTTGTTAGCAGAGGCTCTCCCAGCGCCACAGTGAGGGCTTGGGGACAGCTGCTGCTGCTGGAGCCATGCCACCAGCGGTTCTCAACAGGCCCTGACTGTCAGGGCTTCCAAGTCCCCTGCCCTGAAGGAAAACCCGAGAGAGGCTTCTCAGAAGTGTTGCTGCCTTGTTTTGTAATCTTCATGGAGAAGTGCATTGACCCCCTTTCACAGTAGGGGTGTCATGGTTACCCATTGGGCTGTGATCTGCATGGTCAGCAGTTCGAAATCACCAGCAGCTCCTTGGGAGACAGACTCGGCTTTCTACTCCCACGAGCAGCGACCGTCTCCGAAACCCACAGGGCCTTGCTGTGAGTCAGCAGTGACTTGGTGGCAACGACACTGGTTTTTCTCTACCTCCGAGACCCTGCGTAGTGCCAATGCTCAAGGTGGAATAAGCTGGCGGTTCAAGTCCCCACGGAGACACTCAGAAGAGAGGTTGGTGATCTACTTTTGAAAAAGCAGCACTGGAAACCCCTGGAGCACAGTGCTGCTCTGACCCAGCTGGAGGCATGGTGAGTCAGAGCTGACTGGTTTCCTGATTTTCTCAACCTCATTCCCCAGAAAGTCTGAGGAGAAGAAATCGAAAGAACAAGAAACATCATCCTTGGCTCATGGTTTACTGACTAGTTACTGGCTTCTCTGTTTATCTGAAACTGTCAGGCTAGATCGTGGTTTGTGACGTACATGACACCTGGGAATTCTTCAGACGTTTTTAGCTCTCCCACGAAGGTAACTCAGGGCACGGAGGAATTCTTGAACATGTCACCAGACAGCCCAAAGGGGGGACTGCAGAAGTGGAAACCAATTTACCCCTCGCTGATGCCAAGGACTCCCTCATGGCAGCCACCTGGGACACTTTCTCCGACTTAACATTTCACTTTTTGATTTTAAAGTCTTTGCGGATCCACGTCTGAGGCCACCTCCCATTCTCAGCCTCCTCCCCACAGACAGAAGGACATGTGGAGACCCAGAACAGCATAGTCCTTAAGCCATGAATACAGGCTCCGGCAGTAACCTTGGCCGCCTTGGACAAATCCCATGACCTCCCCAGTTTTTCATCTGTAACGTGGGGCTGATTATACCTATGTAAAGGTTGCTAGGAATATTAAATAAGCTAGTATATGTGAACTCCTTAGTATAGTGTCTGATACACGTATACTAAGTAGTCAACAAGTGTTTTTATTATCTACCCAAACCCAAAACTCAAAGACGTTGCCAGAGTTGATTCCAAATCATAGGGTTTCCAAGACTGTAAATCTTTAAAGGGCCAGATAGCCTCATCTTGGTCCCACAGAGCAGCTGGTGGGTTTGAATCTCTGATCTTGTAGATAGCAGCCTGATGCTTCTCCAACAGGGCCAGCAGGGCTCCACTCTTTATTATCTTGGATCAGAAAAAGATACTACTTCCTCTACGGCTGGGTCAACTGTGACAGCCCCATTTGCCACGGTCAGAAGAGGAGAGGGCAAAACACAGTCTGGAGGAGATCTAAGGAGGTCTATCAAGCAGGCACTTCCTAAGTGAGCCTGTGGCTACAGGCAAACTCTGAGGGCTGTAGACATGGACGTGCATTATCTTGCCGACAGGTAGGATTGTGACATCAGTCAACCTCAAGATGAATCATGGGAGTTTGGAACTAGAGAACCTCAGTCGCCAATGTCCTGGCTGGGATTCCATAGCACCTGGAAACCATTATAAAACTCAAGCTATTTTGATTCCCCCTGCAACCTTAAGTTACCTGTTGCCATCACATTGACTTTGACTCTGTGTATGTAGAGGGCCACTGTACAAACAGGGTTTTCAAGGCTGGGACCTTTAAGAAGCAGATCACCAGGCTTAACTTCCGAGGTGCCTCTGAGTAGATATGGACTTCCGGCTCTGTAATTAGTAGTGCCGCCCAAGGACTCCTTAACTCTGAGCTCATGGCCTTCACTCAGCCGGGTAGGACTGAATTCTGTAACAGGCGGCCATAACCTGACGAATTGATTCTTAATCAAGGAGAGAATAATGCTTCAACCCATCATTTGGTTAACCTGTAACCAGATCAGTTGGGACAAACTCAAACGTTGATTTGAAGGCAAACAGTGGGCATCCATCTGTCTTCATTCAGCATGGTTCAGAGCGAGACTTTACAGGGTGGAGCTGGGGCTATTCCACGTCCGGGCTTTCACCATCATACTCCTTGCATGGAAATTCCCTACTGGCTGCAGATGCTTGGGCCCAGGGATGATCCTTCCCAGGCTCAGGGCGGGGAGGTGACCATGTGGGCGTTCAGTGGACCCCCGAGCCGGGAGGACTTGAGGCAGGCCGGCAGACAGCAGCTGATAGATACTTCCTTGCCCTCTCTGTTTCCCTTTCTAGAGACTCAAAACTCATTTGCCTTTTTGAGCAAGCTCTAAGGACGGTTTTCTTTTCTTTTCTAGACACCACCAGACACTCACTCTATCTACCAGATCACCTTTTCCTCTGGAGAATACACTTTCTGCTAGCCTTGAGGAAGTCCGGTCAACAGTTCAAGGCAAAGAGTGGAAGTAAAAAGTGGGAGTGAGGGAGGATGAACTGTGATAAGAAATGAGATCAAGAGGGAAAAAATATTTTACTCTCATTTTGAAGGTGCTCTAAAGCACTCCAAGCAGGATGGAAAGAAATATACGTCTCACAGAGTTGCTAGGTAAAGAAAGGCAAGGTAACATTAACTTTTAACTCACTGTCATCCAGTCAATGGTGACTCACAGGGACCCCTGCGGATTTCTGACACTGTAACTATTTCCGGGAGTAGAGAGCCCAGTGCTTCTCCCACAGAGCTCCTGGTGGTTGGGAACCACCATGCATGTGGATCACGGCCCAACGCTTAACCCCTACACCACCATGAAGTATCCTGGGTGCAACTGTGGGGTTTCCCCCTATAGAAAACAGCCCACGTGGGCATCAGAAGTTCTGGAAGAGTCCAAGATGCACTGTATTTCTTCCTTACATTGTACTTCAACTTTGGTGGACTGTCTTGAAGGCCAGGGAGGAAAACCCAAAGGAGCCGAAAAGACCTCTTGGATCAGCGGAGGAACTGGTAGGTAAAGCAGGCTTTCTGATGATGTTTGCATGGGGGTGGGGGTAACCACTGGAAATGCTGGAAATGCACTCATCCATTCCACAAACATCTATAAAGAGCTTACTCCAGGCCCGGGATTCGGTTAGGTCGCCATCGGACAGCGATCGGCATCTAGTGATCAACACGATGCAGCTCCTCCCTCATGGACTTCCGTGCTGGTGGGGACAGTGGGCAGGGTGGCCATCGCACATCCAAACAGAGATCTGAATGGTTTGGATTTGCTTACTTATTACTAGGGCAGCGGGGCTGACCTTGACTGAGCACATCAAGGGGTAGTGATGCCTCAAGTGGTGGTTAGAGAGCATGGCGTGTGCTTGGTCTCCAATAAACAGAAAACCCAAACCATGGTCGCAGTATGAACATTGGCTCTGGACTAAAGTGAGCTTTTTTTAGTATTTACCATTAGAGAGTGTCACTGTTTTTTTATTGTTGTTGTGGTTTTCCTAATTTGGAAAAAAATTAAAATCTACGAAAGTGCAAAGGAGGACAACTCAACACACATCTGTGCGCCCTCCCTTCGAGGGCTGTGCATGCTCTCCGTCAGCAGATTTGCCTCGGACTTTGTTTCCTCATTCTCTCTTCCTCTCTCCCCAGAAACGAAGTCCAACAGCTGAAGGAGGTGTTGGCCACTCAAACCCGCCAGTCTCCTTCCCCAGAGGTAGACGATGAACAGTCTGGTCCCTCCCATGAGCTCATGTAGGTCTTTTCTCTGGCCCTAGAAAGGTGATGGCTAAGGACTTTCAAGAGTGTAAAAGAAAGAGCTTTCGACTGGGGCCACCCACTTAGCAGAGTCCATTTCTCAGAAACGTGGAGTGGGCGCGTGGTTCACCCTGGGGCCCGGCAAGTCTTTCCTGATCATTCGCCCCAAAGTGATGAACAGATCTCACCTTCTGCCCCACTTAGGGCACATCCAATGCATCTTCCCGACTAATGGCCTGCGTGGTATTCCCCAGGCACGCCACCGAACCCTGACTTATCCCTTGATTTGTGTAATAGTTAATCTAATTAAAATAGACCTTATTTTGCTCTGCACCTCTTTTCATAAAGGCAGGTCTGGTCTCCTTGGGTGCCTCTCTGGCAGCCTGACGGGGTTTTTTGGACCACATCACCCTTTCCCTTTCC